TTCCATACAACAACTTAATTTTCGACCGATCGTTCCTATGGCAGCTATATGATATAGTTGCCCGATGTGAATAAGATTTTGCATAAGTGGAGGGAGCATAGTAAAACTAATAAATGCCGAGTTTGGTCAAGATATCTTGAAAAACAAAAAAATTCCATACAACAGCATAATTTTCGACTGATCGTTCCTATGGCAGCTATATGATATAGTTGTCCGATCTTAATAGAATTTTGCATATATATGGGGACCGTAGTAAAACTAATAAATACCGAGTTTGGTTAAGATATCTTGAAACACATAAAAATTTTCTATACAAAAACTTAATTTTCGACCGATCTTTCCTATGGCAGCTATATGATATAGTGGTCCGATCTTAATAGGATTTTGCATATATATGGGGAGCCTAGTAAAACTAATAAATACCGAGTTTGGTCAAGATATCTTGAAAAACATAAAAATGTTCCATACAAAAACTTAATTTTCGACCGATCGTTCCTATGGCAGCTATATGATATAGTTGCCCGATCTTAATAGGATTTTGCATATATATGGGGAGCGTAGTAAAACTAATAAATACAAAGTTTAGTCAAGATAACTTTATAAACAAAAATGTTTTTCATACAAGAACCTACTTTTCGACCGATCGTTCCTATGGCAGCTATATGATATAGTGGTCCGATCCAGCTGGTTTTGACATATGAGCTGCGTGCAACAGAAAGAGGGAATTCTGCAAAGTTTCATAAAGATAGCTTTAAAACTGAGAGACTAGTTCGCATAGAAACAGACAGACGGACAGACGGACAGACGGACATGGCTATATCAACTCGGCTGTTGATACTGATCAAGAATATATATACTTTATGGGGTCGGAGATGTCTCCTTCTATGCGTTACACATTTCACGACAAAATTATAATACCCTCTGCAAGGGTATAAAAATACGTATAACTGCTCCACGGCGGATTAAAAGGAACAAGAACCCCGTTCATAGAACATTTTTAATTTGAACTTCATTTATAGTAGTCCTGAGCGTCGAGCAAAGCTTCCCCTTTGAAGCTTATATTAGAAGAATCAATTGTATTAATCTGTATAGTCCTGTGCTGATCAAAACTAATAGTATCTTGAAGAATAGTTGGGGTTTTCGCCAAGCTCGTTTATTAACGATTGCATTCCGAACTTTTACAAGTTCATTAAAAAAGTGAACCCTCCCAGAAAAAGGTCAATAGCTTGATAATTTATTGTAAATTGCAACATTTCTTTCTGCCGGCTAATTGAGCTGAATTGCATGGCTATAAGTCATGGGAGTAAGGGGGGGAGGGTGTAGTGCTAGTGGGCGGGAGCATGGGCTCTAAGTAATTAAGCCTTGTTATTGTTCATGTTATTGCTTGTGGCTGGCGCCCTTGAGAATATTTTGTTTGTAGCATTTGTCGGCATCGCGAAATCGTTGACAGCTGTTGCATCAGCTCGAAAGTATTTGAGAAGTCTGTGCTACAATTACAAGACCGACAGAACGAGCCCCAAAATAAACACGTCTCATCGCTACACACTCGCACACACACACACATACACTCGGGCAGAAGACTGCGAAAGTTTTGGTTCACTTGTGGAACCACTTTAGCCAATGGAGCCGGAAAGCAGCGACGCCGCACTGTCCATTGTTTGTCCACTTATTCAGTTGTGTACGCTGACCTCTTGCTCTCCCTCTGTCCGGCTCGCCTCTTTCAGATCCGTCGGAAGTTCGTTGTTGATTTGGTCTGCCTGCGGCATTCTTTCAACAATCGGCGCTCTTTGCTATGCCGAATTGGGCACCAGCATCACCAGATCCGGCGGCGACTATGCCTATCTCTTGGTCGCATTTGGCCCACTCGTTGGCTTTCTGCGTCTATGGATTGCCCTGCTCATTATCAGGCCAACAACCCAGGTGAGCTGAAAGTGTTTTTTATTTCATCTAACATCTAAATGATTTATTTATAGTAGTATTACTATTATTGAATTGATTGATTGTATTGTTAAATAAATTGATTAAGAGTCAACCTTCGACAAGAATTGTACTCAATTGTGACGATTGCGAAAACTTTCTCCCATGAAAAGTAAAAACAGATGCACTAAACGAGAATTGATGCAATTGTTTCTTGAATAACTTGAATAACGAGTGTGTTGCAGGCACAGTTGAAGCTGAAAATACTTAGAAATTTCTTCCAGCTAGCATAAGAAACAAGAATTTACTGAATATTAAGTAGCTCTTTTTAAGAATAATCAGTTTATCGTATAAGAACTTCATTATATCAACTTCATTATATCATCGTATTACCTTCTTTCTTTTTTACAAAACTGGTTAGTTCAAAATTAAAACCTTTTGAGGAAGTTCCAGCCCCAACGTATAAAGGGGCTTGGCTCCTTTGGTAGGGCACAAATTTAGCCCGCATTTCGTATATGAAAATATGTACGGACGACAATATTTTCAGTACAGCGGGCAGTTGTAAATCAAATTGTTAAAATTTAGAAAATATATATATCAGGGTTTGAACCAGAAACTCGGTTCAAAAACGCGGAAAACCGGAGATACGACTCGAACCCAAACTTAGAGTAATTCTTTTGAACCGTAAACCGAATTCTTGTAGCCAGTTCAATATATATTTTAGATAACCAATTGGGTTTAAAATAAATAACACATTAAATATTATTTTCAGACAATTGTTGCGCTTACCTTTGCACATTATGCGGCCAAGCCCTTCTTCGAGGATTGCGATCCGCCGCAAAATGCAGTCAAGCTGCTGGCTGCCGTTTGCCTCTGTGAGTATAAGTTATCTATTCTAGTGCTGAAATATATAACAATACATATCTATTATTCCTGCTATTAGGTCTACTCACAGCCATTAACTGCATGTCCGTCAAGGTGTCCATGAAGGTGCAGGATTTCTTTACGGTGGGCAAGCTGCTGGCGCTGATAATGATAATACTCGCTGGCCTTTATTATATGGCCACTGGCAAGCTGGATAACTTTTCCAATCCCTGGGAGGGTAGTTACAGTACACGCAATATAGGCTACGCTTTTTACTCGGGCTTGTTTGCCTTCGGCGGCTGGAACTATTTGAACTTTGTCACTGAAGAGCTGCAGGACCCATACAAGTGAGCTTAACAAGGCACAGAGAATAGATAAATGAATGAATGAGTGGGTGGTTGGGTGGTTGGGGAATGCATGACTAAGCAAAAGGGCCTTACGAGAAGACAAATGGCTTTGCACTGTTTGCCATTTACGTCATGCGTAGCAGGCGACGGCAACAAGTTGATGGCGCCCACTTGTTGAAAGTCCTTGGAGCATGTGTGTGTGAGTGTGCGTTGGGGCTGGGTGGTTGAAGCGCCCAAGTTTTGTGTTTTCCCCCAAATGAATTCAATTTGCCCATGCGGCGCAGCAATCAACTTAAGTGCTATATGGCTGCTGCTTGAATCTTCAAGTGTGTTTAAGGCACGTTTAAGGTTTCTCTAATATCTATTTGCTCATTTCTCCCTTTCCCTGCTCGCCTAGAAATCTGCCACGCGCCATTTGGATAGCTATGCCCCTGGTCACGGGCATCTATGTGCTGGTCAATCTAGCCTATTTCGCTGTCGTCTCTAAACCGGAGATGCTTAGTTCGCTGGCCGTTGCCGTGACCTTTGGCAACAAGGTCTTTGGACCGCTGGCCTTTATGGTGCCCATTTTCGTGGCACTGAGCACATTTGGTGGCGTCAACGGTGTGCTCTTTACCTCGGCTCGTCTATTTGCCACCGGCGCTCAGGAGGGTCATCTGCCCAAGTTCTTTCAGCTGTTTCATGTCAAGCAACAGACTCCGATACCATCTCTGATATTCACAGTAAGTCAATAGATTAAATGCATTTACGACTATTTATTCCAGCTGCTGACTTGCCAGCTTTGCTTAGTTTTAGTGATAGATGCAAAAGCTAGCAAATTGGCAGCTAACTATCATGAAGACCTAAATTTGTTATCTAATAAATATTTCTATTTTATAGTGCCTGATGTCTCTGCTAATGCTCCTAACCGATAATGTCTACGAGCTGATTAACTATTTCAGCTCCGTGCTGTGGCTCTCTGTGGTGGCTAGCATAGCGGGCATGTTGTGGCTGCGTCACAAGAAGTGAGTTAATTGCAGCAACATTTGAGTACATATTAACACGACTTTACTCTCATTTTTAGACCGGATCTGCCTCGGCCCATCAAAGTGCATTTGGCGCTGCCCATCATCTTTATGACCATTTGCGTGACCTTGGTGCTGTTGCCCAATTTCAAGGAGCCCGCCAATCTGCTCATTGGCATTGCCATCACATTAGCCGGCATTCCCTTTTACTATGTGTGCATTGCCTGGAAGCAGAAGCCCCGCTGCTACGGTCGCCTATCAAATGCCATGGTTGAGCTGTGCCGCGCCATCTTTAATACAACCATTATAGAGTCCAACGAGTCGCTGAAGTAATATAACCCCCAACTCCCCTACTCACCCACATCCATGCTATGCATTTTACCACACAAAGCAGATATTTTTTTTGCATAACTCCAGCCAAACATTTTGTATGATATTTTCGCGTTAGACGTTAGCATTCCTCAAATTCAAATAGGAAAAGCTTATGCTAGCTATAGTTTTTAATTTGTGTATTATTTTTGTATTAATTCAAGTGTTGGCAGTAGCTAAAGCTCTTGAGTTGCTAAGCATATACAGTTATTGGAAATTTCTCACACAGTTTATATATACAAATTTATATATATATATATATAGTTTGTATGTATATACGTATGTACTTGCCTCAGTTGTGACACTTTTAGGGAAAACTAATCTATAAGCAAAACTCTAGTTCTTAAGTATAACATATTTATCAAGTTGAACTCCAAACATATACAAAATTGTAAAACATGGCTTATTCGAATGGAATCAATAAATGTTATTTGTGAATGTAAACTGCAGTTGTGTGAATTTGTTTGCTGTTCAGGGTTAAAGGCCTATATTACAGTCTGGAGCTACCATCAGCCTAGTAAACGACCTTGCGGCTATTTATTTCAATGGCCGTCTCCACTAGCGTGGTGCCACGTATGAAATCCGCAGCCACAATGTTCGCATGCCCGCCCAGCTCATCTTGATATAGCTGTGATATGCGCCAGTTCACATTGTCGGCCATTTTGCGCAGACCTCCATGCTTGTCCAGTATGACATCCCATGTTTCCGGCGTCAGCTCAGCCATGTCCACCACTGGTCGGCTCGAAAAGCGTCTGTGTGTAGTAAAGTAAAGCTATACAAATATTCAATCCAGTAGCAGCAATTGCTTCCACTTACGACACATCAAAGTCGTTGATGTAGCGCAGATGCCTCTCCAAACGCGCCCACGACTGCACATTGCCCCAGCGCTGATCCACGGCGCCAAAGAGCAGCTGTGGAAACTCCTGCACGATTTCATTTTTATCGTAGGCCAGTATCACATTCTGCTGTCGCCTCCAGATTTCGCGCAGCGTGGCGTGCCAGGTCAGCGATGGATGGACAATGAGATCACCAAAATGCTCCCGCAAATAGCTGACCAGCAGTCGATGCACGCCCAGATTCTTGCCAAAGCCTGTCAGCATAAAAGGTTGAGTCTTAGACTTTCAATGAAATCTCGACATACGCTTACCCACGGGAAACTCTTTGATCCCAAATATCACAATCTCATTGGTTTCCAGCACAAAATCCTTGACCTGCTGTATGACCTCTTTCAGTGGACGTTGCTTTGTAATTCCGTGATAAATGAAAAACTTATCCTCCGCGGGTCGATAGTAGCCCACACGTATGTCCAGATAGCGTGCTCCATGCAGCAGCTGGCCACGTATATCATCGTCCTGGGTGAGTGCATATTTGGTCACCAAACTCTCGCGCAGCAGCGGATCAAAATTTGGTCTATAGGAGCCAGAGTCATGTGTGCCGGGTATGAAGAGATCACGCAGCCGCAGATCACCCACAACGGCACGCAGCTCATGCATCCAGCGGGGGTAGGCACGCACACAGCTCTTGGCCAGTATATTTCCCTGCGCATCTATATAGGTGGCCCAGTAGCCGTAGCAGGCGCTCTGCGCGGTCACGTTGTGGGAGAGCGCATAATCAAAGGGCACGCCCGTGGTGAACCACTGCGCGGACTGGCTAGGCTTGATGGCGGCCACGATCTCATTGTTGCCACCATTCGATATCCAGTGCTGGCGCGCCGGGCTTATGCTCTTTGCCTTGGCCACGGAGCCGGGCGTGCTGGTGTAGCCGTGAAAGGGCACATATGCCACTTGGTCAGCACCAGATCCGCTGCTTTCCTCGCTATCGCTGTTGCTGTCGCTGCCGCTGTCTCTGCCAAAGGCGGCTAGGGGCGTGCCCGTGGGCAGAGTACGTTGCTCAAAACTATGCGGATCCTGTACAGTTAGTAGCACTTGATCGCCATCCCGTGCCGGCGCATGCTTCCAGCTGACTTCCAGGAAACGTTTGCGTGCACTTATCGTTAGCCACAATTTCAGCGCATTCGTAGCTGGCTGGGAGGCGCCCAGGGTAAGCACTGGCTGCTCCTGAGTCCATGCGGGGCAGATGCAGAGCAGCAAAATGAACATAAGTTGCAACATTTCTGCTCTGAATTAATTATAGCTAATTCGATTTGATTACGCTTAAGCTTAATCAGCGCACATCAGCCACACGCTCGGACGAGACTCGAGCTGCTTTCCGAGAAAATTGGCTGTGTCAATGTCTCGCCAAGATCAACTGTTGCCGACGAGCGTGCTGAGCGCGTTCTTATTGGAAAGCAAATGCGTCGCCCGCTGGAAACCTCGAGGTGCCTATGTACATAAGTGCCGATATTTCCATATAAGAAACAATAGTGCCATAAACAAAAGGAAACGAAAAGCAAATAAGAGTAGTCTAGTCGGGAGTGCCCGACTAGGAGATACCCTGAACATACAGTGCGACAAACTATGGGATACATAGTCTTAAATATATATAGCTTTAGTGTTTATCAGTCGATCCGATTTTAAAATTTCAAGGCCCAAATATGTCAGGCAAATCTGTTTATATAGCAAATCAGTTTCTTTCAATTTTTAAAGTAGTTATGGGAAGTTATGAAAAATGCTCAATTCTCGTACTCTGTGTATATTATACGAGAATTTACATACCAAGTTGGGCGTATTTGGTTCTTATAATCTTCGAGTACACGAAATATATAGACATGGCTAGATTGACTCAGTTTGTCGTTCTGATCGGGACTATATACATATTTTTTGGGGTCGAAGATGCTTCTTTCTGCCGGTTACATACATTTGTTTCAAAACTTTATACCCTTTATATTATTATAGTTTCAGGAAATGTCATCTTACTGGTACCGTTTGCGGGGCCGAAGTGTTTAATTCAAATTTATTTTCTTACTAATAAACTTTTGTTTGTTTTTTCTCTAAGCCGGATGTTCTATTAATTCAAATATGAACGCGTACTTCACTTGGTCGTGTGAACTTTACATTAACTTTGTCTATTGTCTAACGCTCTCGACAAACTCAGCGAAATTGTAACAAGCTTTGATTAGATCATAAACTTGATATGGGCAGACGGAACGAGAACAAAGAACATAACAAATTGCATGCTACGTACAAAGATTTGAATTCAGTTACGTACATATAGATCTGTAATTGATGTTCTAATTGCGATGTTTGTTTATGTTTTGTATTTGATAATCAAGCACCAAAGCTAATTGCTTCAGTTCCGAATAAATCTTGCTGTCATAATTAATTACGAGTCACGTGTAAAACAAGGGCAATTTGTCTTCGACCTAGCACTCGTTTAGCTTTTATCACTGGCTCCAGCTGTATATGATTATCGCTTATGCGGCATAAGAACGACGGTCGAGTAACCCGGGTGTACGACCTTCAAGACCCGGCTTTACTGTGCGACTGAAAGCTGATGCCCATCGAGCAACGGATTGAGTTTGTGCTTCGTAACACAAACTTTCTGTTTGTTTTTGGCGCCTACGTGTTAACTGCACTACAATAACGGTAATAGGGCTTCCACAATGCAGCCGTTTCTTGCAGCTTCCATGCTAGGGATTTAATTAGCTTTTTCTTTATTTAATTTTCCATTACGAACTAAGCTCAACACAGCCAATTTTAAAAATACCGACAGCTTTCCTGTCAAACCCAATTAACATTCACAACGTTGCGCGCGCAATATGTGTGAATGGCTGCGCATGCCAGCGAATGGCTATTTTTGATTGAATGGCGCTGAATAGCGCGCGCAATTTCATGAACATTTAAAATAATTCACAAAGCGTATTCTATGTATATACATAAACTATGTGTCGTGTATGTTATGTACGATATCTGAGTCGAATTACATCATAATCCAGCCAGTCAGTCAGTCAGTCAATCAGTTAGTTTTATGTATATTGATCAAATCAACGTTATTTGTACATGCACTTTAATGGGCTATGGTATACAGTGATGGGTCTTACAATGTCACCGTTTCCATATAGCGCTCAAAGGATTGTGTAAGTATCGTGTGATCCGGAGCCAGATGGGTATCAGCCATAATGGCTAGTCTATACTTGTCTCCAAATCGATGCAGATTCAGGGAGAGACAAGTTTTTGATTGCGGTGGTCGAAATAGGAGTACATCCTGTACCCGTTGCCCCCAGGCAGCCTGAAACTGTGTATCCGCCGCACCATAGATCTCCGTTATGGTAACGGGAAAGTTGTAGGAGAAAAAGTTGATGAAGATCTTGGTAAGGACATGGGGCAGCAGCGCCGTTAGCAGACTGTATTTGGTTTGTCCTATAGAGGCCAAATAGATCATGATCTGCTGCCTGCGTATGCGCTCCACAATCGCGTGCAGCTGATGCGCCTTTAGGGCGTCGGGCGAACCAAGCGGCAGCTGCAAGAAGACCACGCCGCCAATGTGAGCCGACTTATCGCCACTGCGATCGGTGAAATAACCCTTGGATATGGTGCGACAGGTTGTGTTCAGCAACGCCGGCACTGCCGCAGTATCGGAGAAGGTATTGAAGTAATCATAGACAGCGCCAGCCAGGCAGGCCAAACTGAAGTCGGATTCGCGTAGCTTCTGGCCAAACATATGCTGATGACGTTCGCGCAACAGGGCGCCATCGATGGAGCGGCTAAAGGAGACAATCTTGCGTCCAGCGTAGGACTTCTTGTGAAGGATGTTTAGCTCCTTGGTGGGCTGCACAAAGAGAACCTCATAGATGTTCCGCGGTGCCTTGAACAGTTCAAAGCAGATCTTGCACAGCTCCAGCTGGGCGTAAAGCAACAGCGGCACATACAGATGCAGCCGGGCACAGTAGGTGGTGCTGTACGTGGTCTGGCCCCGGACCACGACATCGCGCAGCGCCAGCAGCTCACAGTAGATGTGGTAGGGCAGGAGGATAATGTGATGCAGTGCCTGTTGCCAGACAAGGTGCGTCCAGGCCTTGGCTATATTGGCTGGTTGCAGGCTATGTCCCAGTGCGGCTCGTGCCACCGCCCAGCTGAGATTACGCTGCTCCAACTCATGCTGCAGCAGCAGATACAGCGTCTGCAGCAGACCCAGATCATTCCGATAGCCGGGCGAGCGACGCTGCCATTTGCGACGCATGGCGCGAGTGCGCCAATAGCCCAGGCACACGTTGACCAGCACGATGAGCACCAGGGATAGCAGCTGGCTGAGATTGCGTGCATCCGGATGCGATTTGACGCCATCCGGTGTGTCCAGAGATTCGAATTCATAGATGAACTGCTGCCAGCGACAGCTCACCAGATGCAGCACATGATTCACCAGCTTACTTATATGCTCCGGCTGACGCACAAAGTGCGACAGTTGTTTGGTGGCCGCCGGCCGGATGAGGCCTGCATCCTGCAGGCTGACAATCGGCTTGCGTTCGGTGTCCTGCAACAAGAGCATCTCGCCCACATGCAAATCCTCCTCCTCGGCAATGATCAGGTGATGCACCTTGATTAGTATATAGTAGGGCTGTGCCGGGTCCGAGTTGGGTATGACCGTCACCTGCCACTGGGGCAAATCCGAGGGTATATATTTGGCAGCCAGCTCACTTACATGCTCCTGGATGTTCGACTCGTTGACGGGACGTCCGCGATATCGGTGCGTGCTGAGCACCACGTGATTGTTGATGTTGAATCCGCTGCAAGTAGAGACGGGCAACTGGATCTTAGTAGTTCCTCTTGGAAGCTGTGCTGTGCTCACCTGTTATCGTTGACCCAAGCATAGTGGCCCCAGCACGTTACCAGTTTCTGGCGCAGCTTGGGAAACTTGAGCATGCCCGTCTTATCCTTCAGCTCGGTCAGCTGCAGCGAATAGGCGCGTTTGATGCGCTCGAAATCGCAGCTGCCCTCCACCTGGAGCAGAAAGTGAAAGATGCCCGCATTCTTGGGCGTATCGATCAGTGTGCGAATCTTCTTGGACTTGCATATGGTCAGATTGGGATACTTGATGCTCAGCACATAGTTGGCCAGCTCGTTGGTTAAATGCGCGCCTGTAAAGAAAACAGCAAAATTTAAACAGATTTATGCAATACTATATAGACCTAATCATGCCGATAATGCGCTTGTTCCACGAATAAGACTCGAATCGCGCACCCGCCCCATAAAAATCAAACGTTGCGGCTTATCGTTGGCAAATTTTTATGAGTAATTCGGTTGGTCAAGGTTCAGGCTGGTCGGTCGCTCGTCTGGGTTCCGCAAAGGTGCAACAGGTAATCAGCGACGCATTGTTCGGCTATATTATTTATAAACAAAGCTTATCAATGGCATGAGCGTATGGTAGTGTATGCGGCCCCCTACTCCACCCACCCCTTATCGCTGACAGGGCTATTGATGCGAATCCCATAATGCTGGCGCATCTGAACCGTTGCATCCTTTGGCTGAATGAGCGGTTACTCAACCCATGCCTCGTTTATTTATAGCCGGCCTGTTTGATCTATTTGATTAATGGGCCCATCTGGGTCAACGCGTGCCCGTTTATTGATCGGAAAACTTTATTACTTACACACAAATGATAGCAGCAACAATGGCAACAGCATAAGTGCCACCATAAAGCACAGTAGAGTCTTCAAAAACGATATGCACTCCTGCCAAATGCTGAAAAAGTTGAAACTATTATAAATGGCTTAAGAGTGATAAATTATACTATACTTTTCCATTTTGTACGATTCTATGTGGATGTATATATAGGCTATATATTGTTGTTTATTTCGCCTTTGTCTATCACTTAAAACGCCCGTTCGTTTCACTGTGCTAGGCACGACTGATCAGACAGTCGCAGCTACAACGAAGCTTCCAACAACGCTTCAAATCTCTTATCACTCGGCAAACAAAATGATAAGGCTGCTCCTGCCGGCCAAAACACATTTGCCAGTTGCTATATTATATCAAATTAGCTTACATTTTTAAATGTTTTGAATAAACAGTTTAGTAAACTCGAAAATAATCTTATACTCTATATAAAAACAACTACAACTTGAAAATAACGTATAAGCTGATCAAAATGAATGTCATGCATGGCTTTTAAATTGCGCGCGTCAAGTGTGAATGGCTCATAGTGTAAATGCGCGTGTCAAGTGTGAATGGCTCATAGTGTAACGTTTACAAGTGAATGTCAAATTGCAGCAAACAGCTGACGTCGACTTGTTTACAATCTTTGTTATTGTTTGCTTACGGGTAAAAAAACATTAATGCAATGCTGCAAACGCCAATTCTTCAGCCCACTTTACACCAGCCGCTGCATTCGAAGGTCTCCAACTATTTAAACAATCAACGCCGCACGGGACAGTTTTGTGACTTGCAGCTGGAACTAGACTCGGATGATGCGTCCTGCACATGCAGCGTCCACTTTTGCGTGGTGGCCGCTCAAAGTCAGCTCATTGGCCACAAACAGCAAAAACAACAACAGTTCTCAATGCAGAATCCACTTAAAGTCACTATACGTAACTTCAACTGCACTGTGTGCCTGCACACCATCGTGGACTTCTTCTACGAAGACATTGTCTCCGTTTCCAAGGAGCACGAGGCGCATTTTCGGGAGCTGGCTAAGATACTGTCTGTTACCGAGCTGCTGAATCTGTATCAAATTGAACAGACCAGCGACGTCACCGCATGCCTGGAGCCAAGTGCCGTTAAAGGCGATGCGGAGGATATTATGCAGCCAGCTATAAAGCCGGATGTTGTTTTTGAAAATGAACAGAGTTATTTTAAGGTAGGAAACGAGCCAAAATAATGGATACATCTTCACAAAAAGATTCTTTTATTGTAGCTGAAAAATCCGCGCGCTGTCAAGTCCAGCAGCAAAATAAACTACTGCATTGGCTGCGATTTCAAGTGCTATCAGGTGCAGAAGATGATTGACCACATGACTAGCTGCGAGCCCTCGCACCTGACGTGTTCGCTGTGCGAAATTGGCTTTCTGGATTGGCGCGAATATGATGCGCATCTGCGCAGACATGGTTCCGATCGGCGCAAGCCCTTCTTTTGCCTGGAGTGCGACAATCGCTTTAACACTCGGGCTGCTCTGCTCGTCCATCAGCCCAAGCATTCAACGGAAACACCGCATGTCTGCACGCACTGCGGAAAGGCTTTCAAGTGGAAGCAGGGCCTCAGCAATCATATGCTGGTCCACAATCCCGAAAAGCAGATGCTCTGCGATGTCTGCGGCTACAGCACCACGCACATGAAGGCTCTCAAGAGTCACAAGCTCCTGCACACCGGCGAGTTCTTTGCTTGCACTGTGCCCGGCTGCAAGCATCGTGCGAATCGCAAGGAGAACATGAAACTCCACATTGAGACACACAAACAGGGGCGCGACTTCATTTGTGAGATTTGCGGCTGTAAGTTTAGTCAGAGCAAAAACCTAAAGCGGCATGCTCTAAAGCACACCGAAGGCGGCCTCAATCGTTACAAGTGCCAGTTGTGCGGCTTCAGTAGCCATCGCTCGGACAAAATGAAAGAGCATGTGCAGCGAGTGCATACGGAAAGAGCGGTACAGCTGGAGCTGTCGGAGACAGTAGACAGCTCGTTTGAAAATAAAATGCCCGATGATTTTGCACTGCCGCCCATGAACGCCTTGCCAGTGGGAAATGTAAAAGATAGCAATGCCACGGAGTCAACTCGACAGAATCGCAAAATTACGCCAGATGTGACGACGCCAAGTGTAAAACGGCTAAAGACGCTGCTGCCAAAAGATGCAATTGATTAAAGTCGAACACAATCAGAAAACTGAGTGCAACCAATGGCATAGCAGACTAAACTGATTTATCTTGGCTTCTGCGCCACTTAGTCAATTGTAATATGCTTAGCTTGCTAAATGACACTAAATATTGTGACTGCGACTGTGTTTAAACGAGCGAATGCCACCAAATCCAGATTTAGCAATTGAATTGATTATAGAGGCAACTAAAGGCAATTAGTAATACTATATGAGAGACGTCGTTAGTATTAATAATCTAAAATAGTTGACAAAGCATTAAAATTTGAGCCTGCGTGGCTAGACGTTTGAGCGTCGGACCGACAAGCGGGAGGACGCCGGCTCAAATCCAGTATTAGTTTATTAAATTAGTAATTTAGATGGCTATAAACCAACGCTAATTAATAGCAGAGCTTTAAAGCTATTTAAAAAAAATACATCTTGTTTAATAAGCATAACCATTTAAACAAATTTGCGCAGCGTTAAAAAGCTTTGCGAGAACCAAAGAGCAAAAAAGTGAGATAAAGCGTGGCAAACTGGATTGAAAGAGAGCGAGATAGAGTATTCGAGATGGTGACAACACGCGCGTCGAAGCTTTCTTCAGACACTCGAAAACGTAGCCACAATCATTGTGATAGCAGAACTCAAACCGAAGCGACGTATCCCCGGAAAAACAAGCGGAGCCAATTGACTAGCCGAAATAAAAATAACAAAAGATCTCTCAATCAACATGTCTGAGGCGAGTTTCGATCAATACGAGCACTACAATTACGATCATGGCAAACACATCTTCACCGCGCACAGCGGTAAGCAGCGCTCCAAGAAGGAAGCCAGCGATCATACCAATCACTTTGATCCCTCGGGACATTCGAGGAAAATTTTAACCAAGCTGGTGAACACCAATAACAACAAAAAGGCGTGCAAAAACTAAATGTTTGCGTTACGATAAAAAAGTAAAAGGAAACCAAATCGAATTTTGATAACATAAAAAAAAATCATGAAAGTGAAAGGCAAGAGAGGGAGAAAGTAATGCTATTATATAGATACAATACCTACAACCTGTTAGATATATTAAACACATATTGTTGTATTTAGCTATAAGTAATTATACATAAAGTAAAAATATATACTTTAAAATTGCTTATATATTTATAACATTTATGACTATTCTATATTATTAAATGCATACAAATAAATTTTAGAGGACGTAAGGTTGGGTTTGATATTCTATTCGAGAGGGAATTACAAATCGTTTAGCTAAACTCAGCATTTCTTGTTTCTGAAAAATATATATTTCTTTCAAGATCAAAGGTGTATTAAAGTTTATAAATAATTCCATTTAGTTCGGTCACAGAGAGGGACGCAAAGAAGTAGATATGTCTGTTCCAGGGAATATATATTTTCTTGATTTGCGTATATAGAGCCCAGAAGTCTTGATATTGCGTTATCGATTGAATTTCAATATAATATATTTTTTTAACGATATCTAACCCATACTCCCCTCTCATCATCTGACTACCATATCATAACGCTAACATAAAAAACTAATTGGTCATAAATTCAGACAAAAGTAAATGAGAAACAGGTCCACCCTAACGATAACGTTCTCTTTGCCGGCTTTTCGCTCAATTTGCCGGTTTTTTACTGCGCATTTGTTGATATTTGGTAAACAACAAACAAGACGTTGTTAATCAGGTGTTTCTTTGACTGTGGCGCATATTATTCATCATCATTATGATCATCATTATCATGAAGGCACTTCGACCTTATCAGAACGTATATTTGTTTACTTTTTTACTGCGTATCGAATAGTTAAATTACAAAGCAATTCTGTTCTGAACACATACATATGTACATATTTTCTAGTTTTCATGAGAAGATCAAAAAAGGTTGCAAAGGTAACAAAACTAGTTTTTCACACTTGTTCGGGAGCAAACATAATCAAAGATATCTTCATAAATACGATTGGAAAACGAGATAAAAGTACATAAAGCGCTTCTAGAAGAATCAGTTGAAGAATAATAGTTATTATAATATATATAATAATAGCTATTTTCATGTATCATTAGAATTTTCGTCAACTAAATAAAACGGAATGTGGCCTTAAGTTTTTTTTTCCGAACTCAGCTTGTATTATATAGAATTATATAATTATATTAGAATTTGTTGTAATTGGGTATATTTTACTGCAAAAAGATATTCTAGTTTTCGACAGGATTACAGCGGGTTCTAAGGGAATCGAGAGAACTCTTCCAATCCCTATTGTAAGTATATATATATATATATATATATATATATATATATATATATATATATATTTAAATATTCCCGATTGACTAACTATCTATTTTTAATGCAAATTAAGCTCTTTGTATATAAAAATTGATAGCACATCGTACAGAAGTCCAACTGGATCTGTGTTCTGTGACACCAAGACTCCCATGAAAATAATTGATAATAATTATTTTAAGGATAAGATTTCTATATTCTACAGCTTTCATACAGAGTATTTAAGCTTCGACTTTTCTTTTCATTTTCTTCTTCAAATTATTCTAACTAGATGCTATCTATTAATAGATGTCATGCGTCTAACTTTTCATGCCGGTAAATGTAACATCTTCATTGTCAACTCACTTTGCTTTGGCAGATTTCTTTCTTCGGCTTTAATGAAGGAGCCACGGTTCGGTTCTCCATATGGTGCATCTATGCCTGGAATACCTACATATATGTAATTTTATGTTTAACCATGTAAAATCTGTTGTGGAATGTGATAATACGTGTGCCACACGCCAGAACCGCGAGCAGCTCTTGATTATTGGTATTGCCAGCAAATGCTCGACTTTGATCTCAATCTTGAACTCCCTCGGGGGGTTCGGGGGCGAGGAGCTTGGGCAGAGATCATGTTGCGCACTTTCACCGCGAAAAAGAATTTGTGGTAAACAAGTGAAGACGCGCGTGGAGTAAATTGTGGTGCTGGGATTATGCATAAATGAATGGATCGATATATATATATATATATATATTTATTAATGTCTGCATGTATTGGGGATGATAATTGGTGTAGCATTCGGTGCCGAATGAACCGTTAAATCGAATCTGGAGCAGTGGCCCAATATCCAAGCAATACGCGGCCCGCAGATTAACACCTTTCAACGAGGCTGCGTCGAGACGAAGATGTTCTAGATACCAATCCGAGTATATGGGGAGTTTACGGGGCTTTAGCACATACATTTCTCTGCATTAGCACAGCACACACACACACACACACACACGCCCAAAAAGATGCCTAGATCGTTGGGTTTTGGATTGAGTTTTTCTGGCACATCTCGTGAGGTTTTGCGTTTAGTTTACGTGTGGACACCCAGCCGAACGGCAGCTGGCACGTCGCTGACAAGGATTAGGAATAAGGAATACTACAAATATATATACACACACAGAATGATAGGATACTCTGATATGTCAACGAAGCCGCAACGCAAATGTGCGCCCGGCCTGTGGACTCTAGTGCTGGCCATGCTGCTCTTTGCGCTGACCCTGACGGGCGTGGCCCTGCTGGAGGCGGGTCGCGCTCAGTCGCCGGCGGATCATCGCCTGGGTGATGTCTTCATTGTGCGGCGTCTGTGGTCGCATTTTGCAGCGGCCACAAACGAATCGGACGGCGCAGTTGCCGCCACCGTGGAGCGCATTGCCAGGGATGCGACCAATGCCAGCCGGGTTGCAGCAACTGGACGCAGCAACAGCTACTACGAGGAGCAGCAAGCGGTGGTTGTGAATGCCGAAAGCGCGCAACCGCCCATGGCCGAGCGACGGGATTCATTTGGACCGCCGCAGGGCAGATCGTACGCGGATGAGACTTACCCTGAATATTCTGCCTTTGACTATGGCAGCGAGCAGTCGTCGGCGGAGGAGCCCTACTCGGGCAGCGACAGCTCAGCTGCCTCCAAGGAGGAGTCGCCGGCTGGCGAGGGCAGGGCGGCGCAGGCACGTCCCCACGACTCCTACTACGGCCAATGGCAATATGCCACACAGACAGCAGCACCCGCCGGCAGCAACAATCGCAAGTTGCAGCCAGTGAGCAATCGGTAAGAACAAGCACTTATTCTTTGGTATAAGACACATTTAACTGTACAATTTATGTAGAGCTCCATATCCCGCCTACGATGAGGTGTACGACTATCCCATGGGCTTTCAGCCGCGTCCCCAGGATCCGGCCGTCTCCAAGCAGGTGGCACCAGCGCCTGCCAATGCTGTGGCCTATGCACCGCCAGTGGCCACGGAATCGACGCTGGTCACATTTTTGAAAGCCCTCAAACAATTGTGGGATCTCTATCAGGCATTGACGAGCGCCTGGGGTACTGTTTCCGAGCGTCATAAGCAGAGCACCGAGCAGCTAAGGAAGGAGCGTCTGCAGAAGCAACGTCTGCGCCAGCAACAGCAGCAGATCAAGTCCAGAATTAACTCGAAGAAACCGCCACGCATCGAGGGTGAAAAATATGCCAAGCTTAATCAGACCAAAAAGGCCAAGACAACGACTACAACAACGATAAGAACCACCACCAGCAGCAGCAGCAGCAGCAGCAGTAGCACCACCGGGAGCAGCAGCAGCAGCAGCGTCTCCGATGAATCCGAGGAGACGACAGCAGCACCCGAGCGTGCCAAGGGTGATGCTGTTCCAGACAGCTCGGTGCGTGGACTGAGACATAAGCGTGAGCCGGAGCCGGAGCCGGCGAGCACAGATGTGGGCGAGGGGCGTTACATTAAGGGTGATCCGCTCAAGGGTTACTATGATTTCGTCATCACCGAGGGCTCCTACAAGTTCTGGGCTGTCTTTCAGGTACGACATCGATACGAGATTTTGATTAAACAGCGGCAAATGGTATTATTATCTGTAATTTGTAGGTTGGCACCGCTCTCCTGATCATCTACTCGACATTCGCTGCCATTTACTACTCCAAAGTAAATCCGTTGACCAGCGATTACGATTATCAGGATTATCTGGGCGCCGGACGCTCCATGTCGGGCGGCGACGAGGATTTTGTGGATGACAGCGAGCCGAGTACAGCAGCTGCTCCCACATCGCGATTTATGGACTGGCTGCCGCGTACAACGCATTCCCTGAAATTTATACTCGATGCCATTGATAAAATGCCATTAGATAATGACCAGAAATCGGAAAAAGGCTGGTCGACGGGGAATAGTGATACGGCGGCGACAGATGATGCAATAGGGGAAAGCAGATAGGAAAACTGCTTTTATATATTTATAAAAATAAAATGCGTTCAAAAATTAATTTTAATTTTATTATGGGATGAGAGGCTTCCAAATTTGCATATTTTTATTAAATATACATATATACAGGTATTTATCACGATTATATACAATAATAAAGCGGCAAAAGCATTTTTTTTGCTCTCAACCCATTTGACAGAAGTTATTATTATTTATATTAAGGAAAGCAACATGTTTTTTCATTATATTAAGAAAAAATGCACTGTTACGACTTTTGTGTGGTCTCAATTAACTGAAAACCAAAAATTGTGATTAGCTCAAAACCGTTAAGCCGAATGCAAATACAATTCAAATATAATTCAAAATTTTAATATTTACTGTGTACTCACTGTTTGCCATTCACTGTGCAACGTCAACATATGCCATTCACATTTTGGTTCCAGCTGAAACCCATCAGATGTTTATTATTTTTCTGGACGACGTGTAATTTGCGTGTGTTATGAAAATAAAAACGGAAAAAATCACAAAACAAAATAAATTTTAAAATGCAAAGCACAACACAGGGGAAACAAAAAATGTCGCAGATAATGCTGGTGCTCATGTTGTTAGTCGCTGCAGCAGCAGCGCACGATGCCAAAGACTTTGATGATTCCGTGCTCTACAAAATTGATTTCGAAGTGCCCGATCTATTGGCAGAACCGGTAAGAAAAAGGCTGCAGCTCCATTTATATTAATATATGTATGATAACCATATATCACGACCAAATAGGAATTGGGCAATGAGCTGCGCACATTTTACACACAAGAGAAGGAGAAATACGAGTGTCTGATACCTACTCTGGAGATGCCCAAGGAGGAGGAGAAAACCAATGAGCCGGAACAGTGTAAGTTGCGCCGAGGTGTCCAATCCTAGTCAA